TAGCAGGATGCACCGAGCAATTCCTGGGTTTCTGTCTAAGTAATATAACTGTTCCTTCAACTATTTATATCCAGAGAGGCTTGAAGAGTCATCTTTTGGTACCGCTGCACAATTCCTGAGAAAGTTTCAAATCCGGTATAACTGGCAGCTAAGCATTCTCCAGCTGAAGATTCTGTGGTTTGAAGCCCAAATTTGGCCTCTGAGCTCTCAGGTACAGAAGAAAGCAGGGGTGAAAGGATCAGGTGTGTGAATAACCATGTGCTCTCCCTTTTGCCACTAATCTAGGTATTTCTGTGAAGATGAGGTTCTCTCTTTTTAAGTAACAGTTCATGGAAATTTTTCTTATTGGTTTGGGTTCTCGTGAATATCATTAAAAAACAAAATCCTTGGAAAACCTCATTGCCATAGTTGTCTTTTTGAAACTTTACCTGAGGGATCTTGTTGATGCTATTTAAAACAGACCTCTGGAGGAGGAAAAGAATTTAGTGATCGTCTCAGGTAACCCTGACCCAAGCCACAGCCTCACATCCCACCATTAGAATAAATTCTCTTTTCTCTCTTTTTCATTTTCTAGTTTCTCTACTTGATTACTCTTGCGGTCTGGGTTCAGTTATAACAGTGGTTCTAAAAATGTAATGTGCAGCAGAATCACCTGAAAAGCCTTGTTAAATAGACCGCTGGGCCTCAGCCCCAGAGTTTCTGCTTGTCGGTGGGTCTCAGGTGGATGGAGCCTGAGAATTTGCATTTCTAACAAGTTCTCAGGTGATGGTAAGGCTGATGCTGCTGATGGGGTATCACGCTCTGAGGACCACTAAATTAGATGCTTAAACATGAGAGGTAATGCAGCCAAAGGTTTTACTCTTTCATGGTATGTCTCTTCCTCATTTCAGCAAAGGTCCTGGAAGAAAGTGCTCTCATGAAGTTCTCTGCTTTCCCTGGGCTGTCCTGCCCCCTAATACAGCAAAGAATCCCTAAGAAGGATCTATCCACATGGTTCATCCCAGGGCTTGTCAACATTTATTCACAAGAAGGTCTTCATGAGCCTATCTAGAGTTCACTTTGTAAAAATCATATTTAGGATCACCTACTTGAACATCTCATATTGTAGATAAAAATCCTGAACCCAGAACAGGTCATGTGATTTGCCCACAGTCACAACAGTAGCAAGACCTGGCAAGGCTCCACTTGGGATCTAGGCTTTTTGATTGGTCAGTTTTCAGTACAGGCTCCTCCTCTAGCAGGCCGGGCTCCCTGATCAGATGATACATTTTAATGATCTACATCACATTTTTTTCTCACTTGAACAGAAAGCTCTTAAAATATAGTTTAATAATTACAGCTATTACTATGCATGCATTTCCATGTGCACAGAAGATACAGTGAGGTTTAAGTGGTACTATCCTATTTATATTACTTTGCCATGTATTTATAGGCTACAGATTACCTTTAAGCATTCTGATTTTCAAAGAGTAACTAACACTCCAAAATGACTATTATCCTCAGGGGATAAAGACATTTTATTTTTGCAATCTTTTTGTCTTACATCATATATAACCTCCTGTATCTTACTGAATCAGGCTTTAATTGTAGGTGGATTCTTTTGATTCTATTGTTTAGTTATGCAAAATTTTGCAGCAATTAGGAGCAAGGCAAAAAGTTTTTTCCCCTTACTTAACGAGACACTATTTCAAACAGAGGAGTGCTCAGATTGAAGTATTGTAGGTCACAATTAAAGTAATCTGGGTCATAACCATGACATAGGATAAAATTAACTGTTTCCCTCTAAAGTTTCTTTAGCAATATGCTGAGATGTAAAGATTTCACAGGAGATAGGCCTTCTGTTGTGGGATACCACTGAGCCAACAACTTAAGATTCTTAAAGAAGAAATTAATTTAATTAGGAGTTACAAGATGTAATTTAGTTTTCTAGTGGGCCCCAAAGTGGCTGTGTAAAATCATTTTGAGATTAAAGTGACTGTGGGTCTGGACTGGTTTTCACTGGCCTTTCACCAACTGAGAAATCAGCCATTTATTCCTTAGATGAGTCAGGAAAACTGTCAGCCTTCCATGGTCTGCACACTCCAATCCATAAAACTTTAAAACTCAACTATCCTGTATAAAACTTATGTAACTGAAACTTTACTCACTGAAAAATTTTGCAATAGAAAGCCGAGCACATAATATTTCTTTTTAAAAAAGGCACCCACCATCTCACCAGATAAAAATTAAAATGCACATTAGAAATAATTCACTTAACATCAGTTAATTTTCGTGAGTCATTCCCACTAGTTCTTGCTAATGATCTGTCTTGGTAGAAAACTGTTTCACCTAACTCCTCTTCAATATTCTTTATTCATTTCAAGGAAAGCATTTAATAATGGGCAAATGGCAAATAGTTATATGGGGAAAAAAAACCTTGCCAGTCAACTCCAAAGGGAAATTGCCTTCCTTCCCCAATAAATTTCCAATAAGGAAGGACAAGGAGAAGTTAATTAATGTGCGACCAACAGATAGATGCAGAGACACCCACACATTCAGTAAGTTGCAGGCGAATAATTAAAGTCTGCCAACATAAACAGCAAAAGGTCAGCCTGTCTAGCTGTCAGGCAGGTGGTGACTTGAACCACCGATCAATCGCCATTCACATCAAAGGAGTAAGAGATGAAGCCAATGAGACAAATGCAGCTGGAAAATTTTGTCTCTTCATTAGATAATGTGTCACCTCTTTTTAAAAAATATTATCCGCTCCCACTATTCGATATTACAAAATGTGGCAAATCTTTTATCCTGATGGACTCCCTCAGGTAACAGAATCAAACAATAATAGCAGACTCCATACAAACCATGATAACACACTACCTTGGCTAGTAACAGAATTCAAATGAAGCCGAAAAATGAGAATTTAACTCTTAAGGGAAATTATTTTTTGATTCCTCATCCAAAGCCATAATTTAAGGCTGTGATTAAAAGTAAACTCCTGTCATTTACAAATATAAAATATTCTTCAATATGATTCACTGCCTCTAAAACTCTGACAATCTTACTCTTTTCCATAAAATAAAATACATCGACAATCTGATAAAAAAAAAAAGTAGCTGCACTAACTATAGTACCAGTGATAATCTTGTCAAATAGAGGCTCAGTGGGAAAGGTTAATATTCGCCAATAAACGACACATCAGATTGTTACTGTGAGGTTCAATGCCAACTGGAGGAAAGTTACACAGTAAATACCTTGAAGACTACTCAGCTCTTTTTTTTGAACCTTAAAGTTCATCCATTCTGTCCCACTGCCAGAACATTTTGCTGTCCAGGTCTGAATCCCTCCCACCTTTTGGGGGTACTTTTCTACTTGCTGTCTTGTACTACAAGTATGTCCCTATCACCCATACTATAATGGATGCTCCTTGAGGGCAGAGGCTGTTTTGTGGAACCCTAATGCATAGCAAAGTGTCTTGCACACAGCAGGCTGTCTACTGGAATGCATTACTTGTATAGCTTATCAGTTTATAAATTGCATGTACATTGATCTTTGAATTTAAGACTCCGAGCCACGGGGGCTTTCTTAGATCCATTTTCCTTAAGAGAAAACAGAAGCTTAACGACTTGCTCAAGACCTGGTAACTCCTAAGGAGCATAGGTAGAACTAAACCCAGAATTTCAAATGTCACAACTGTATCCCTTCCCTTTACCACCAAAGCAAATACTGGTTTTACCTGTCAACCACAGTGTTACCAATCAGCGAGTTTTATGGGAGGTTGAGCACCAGACCATTCTTGGTTCTACATTACAAGTTGCCTTTGTGAAGCTGCATTCTTACAGGGCTACCTCAGGTTCTCAACTATTGATATTCTGAGCTAGATAATTCTTTGTTGTGGGGGGCTGTCCTGTGCACTGTAGGATATTTGATACTACCTTTTGCCTCTACTCCAAGTGCCAGAAGCACCCCTTCTCCAAATTGTGAAAATCAAAAAATGTCTCCAGAAGTTGACAAATGTCCTTCTGGGGAGAGGGAAGAGTGGATCACACTGGTTGGGACACACTGGACTATAGAAAGGTCAAGTTTACTCTGCCTGGAGGTGGGCACATAACCCAAATTAGCCAACCAGAGCATCCCACACTGCCCTCCTCTGCCCTTGGTTAGTCCATGAGTGTGTGTGTCATCAAGGCAGGGTCAATTGGTACCTTTTTTTTTTTTTTTTGATGGGGAGGGTATGGATAAGAACACTGGAAGGGTGAGAAAGCCTCACACCTGAGATTGTGGCATTTTTAGGTTTACGGCTGCCAATGATCATCTTTGACAATGAGTAGAAAGAAATGAAGCCACCACAAAGGACTGTAGACATGATAAGCTCCTATGATACTGTGTTAAGAACATTCCTCCAATACTACCTGATACAAGCTCCATCCCTCAGCATTACTATTTCCATGAGCCAATAAATTCTCTCTTGGCTAATACTGGTTTGACTTGAGAATCTGAATTTTGCAACCCAGAGAAGCCTGATTTACTCTAGTGTATGAGGCCCCACATGGGCTTGCCTTCTAGCGCAGAATGAAAGCCAATGTCCTTTTCCAGGACATTGAGGTCTAACGTGCTCTGGCATCTCCCCCCTTCTCTGCTCACCCACCCTTACTTCAGCCAGAGGATCCTCCTTCTTTCTGTCCCTTGACATATCAGACATGCTCTGTATCTGCAGGTCCCTCTCTCTGGGACACTCCCCCAGTATTGGCACATCTCACTTTCTCCAAGTCTATGTTCAGCACTCCTCTGGTGGGAAATAAGCAGCCATAATAACTATGTATGGTGTCAGATGGGTACTAGACTTATTGGGGAGATCGCTTTGTATGTTGCACACCTGAAACTAATATCATATTATATGTCAAATGTAATTTAAAAAATAAAATAAACAAACAAATATTCTTTGTCAAGAGGAAGAGAGCCCATTTTGCACACATGGCAGAGAAGTACAGTGAGATGTCAGAGATCAGGGACTTGCTCACATCTGGGAGTCTGTTACTCATTGTTGCTCATCCTGATTTGCAAGTCTGAAGTTTTCAGTTTCCGAGTCTGTGTCTGGATTCCTTCACCCAGATTGGGCTTTCCTTTGCTGCAAAGCAACCCAGTTACATTTGGTGATTTAAACGAGCAACATTTCAAACTTTAAATTCTAGTTCATCTAATACATCACGAATATTTACTAAACTTCTAAAACATGCCAGGCTCTGTTCTAGGCTTTGGGGACATATCTAGAAGCACGATAGACATATTATTCCTCTGCCCTGATGTACCGTCTAAGGATGGGGGTTTGTAAGCAGACATTATTTATCGCCTGTCTGGTCCAATCTTCCAATGAGTGAACTCACATTTTAAGGGAACACCCTGGAGACATTATAGCAAAGTGTTTAAGAATGCATGTGAATCAACCCAAGGTGGTCTTAAAAAAAATAAAAAGTAACAGACTTTTCCTACACCCATGCCAACATTCTTCCCTCACTTTTGATATGTGCCTTCCTTTCTTTGGAATCTGACAGATCTTATTCAGACCCTGGCTCCACCACTGACCTTGTGACCTTGGATAAGTTGTTTAACTGCTCTGAGCTTCCATTTCTGTCTTGGTAAAATGAGGGTAGCAATAGTTTCCTACCTTATAAGTTTTGGGGGAAGATTTCATGAAGTGCTTCAATAGGAAACGTAATAAAATGAAAAGTAAGAGGCAATCAGCATGGAGAGATACTCTGAAGCAAAAAAGCCTATGAATATTACCTCTCCTACCAGCTTTGTCTCCCAGGAAACTTCATATTTGGTCACCGCTGAACATACCTACCAGGTCAACCATACACTAGAAGGGTCAGTTGGAATCTGCCCCTTTTCCCACTCACTGGTTGACTGGTTGGAAGAAATTGAGCATGGGATTGGAACCCCTTCAGCTAATTCAGTAACACAGTGGTGGGCATGATCCTGCATCATCCTAACGTTGATTGTTTACCTCTAACAAGTGGTTTCCTCCATAGCAGAATCGGTCTACTTGGTGGTCAGAAGTACTTTTGTTACAGTTCTCAATATGCAAGTAACATGAGCTTTCATTGTGCTTCATGTCACCCTACCCTACCCAGCCAGGAGGCAGTACATGTAATGGTGGGGGTACTGGCATGGGAGTCAAGAAGCTTTCCTTATCGACTTGGCTGTGTATTTTGGCAAGTCTTTGCCCTCCTCTGGGCCTTGGTTTCCTCAGCGGTAAAACCTCACTGGATCAAAGCAGGGGTCAACAAACTTTTTCTGTAAGTGGTCAGACAATAAATATTTTAGGCTGAGGGCCATGTAGTCTGTCACAACTATTCAACTCTGCCCTTGCAGTACAATAGCCGTAGGCAATACATAAATGAATGAACATGGATGTGTTCCAATAAAACTGTATTTACAAAAATGTCTTCAGCCGGAGGGCCATAGTTTATAGACACCTGAATTAGATGATCTCTTCTTGTTACCTTCCTGTTCTGAATTGCCACAAATTAATTATCCAAGATTTCCCCTTCCATCTGGCCTTATAAAAGTCTCAGAAGCTAGAAAAGTTCTAGGTTGAAATTAAAACTTCAGGCATCAATAACAATAGCTACCATTTATTAAGTGATCGCTCTGTACCAAGTATTGTGCTAATGGCTTTACATGCTTTATCTCATTTTGTCCTCACAACAATTTGTTGATGAGATACCATATCAATCCATTTTATAGGTAAAAAAACTAAGACTTCAGTAGTTTAATTAAGTCTCTCAGCATCATCAAAATGGGAGGTGGCAGAGCTGAGATTAAACCGTTTGACTCTAAAGCATGCTCTTGCTCAAAACTTCTAGACTATGGGATCATCACAAAGTTGCCCAGAGACCTAGCCTCGCTTGCTGCTCCACCCCTCGCCCTGGTTATTTTTCCATGAACCCTCCAAAAGTTCATGTGAGAAATTCTGTTCTTGCATGCCACATAAATTAAAAGGTTGGCCTAAAAATAACACACGAGTTCACTATTGTAGATGATGAATTGCTTTTTAATGCATAATAATTGACTCTTCGACCAGCTCAAGACTTTATTGTGGCTGGAATACCTACAGCATGCCTTATTTGGAAGGTGACCATAAGACAAGTGCTGAATTTGCTGACGCAATCTGCAGTCTGTCACCCAGGCTAACAGCCCCATTTAAAGAACTATTTGAACTAAGAAGAAGGAAGAAAAAGAACCAAAGACCTACATCTTACCATAGTTTGTCATAGTTAAACTAATCATAAACAAAACTCTCAAGAAACAGTGGCCTTGGAAAAAATCAAAGGGCAGCTTGGAATGTACACGGGATCTGCTGGCTGATCTCTTGAGACATGTTTCAAGGTGGGGTGCCTGCTTATGCTCCATCAACGCCTGTGCACTGTCTCACTCTCTTAAACTTCCACAAAGTCTCCTTGAGCAACTGGTGACTAGTAATGCACTCTCTTTTGGGCCTTCAGATGGAGGTTTGTAACAACAGGGGTGGATGTTTCAGTATGGCCACGGTTCTCTTATCTTGCTTGGTAGTAAACAACTATACTCTCCAGAGAGTTCTAGTGTCCACAGTAGGCACGGTGAAAATGTTAATGCTTCAATTTGATAAATATTTAATGATTCTTTCCCTCATTACTAAAACTTACTTTCACCTCCTCATTTTTTTTATGAGCTTTATTCCCAGGTTTAGACAAATTGAAGTCATAAATACAGTAGAAGTAGGAAAAAACAATTTGATTCCACCAGACCATCAAAACTGAATGCAAGTCATATTCTGGCAAGAGGCTTTGCTCCTGTCCCTTAGAGTGACAGACAAGACTGAAACAGAGCTAGACAAGAAGCCACGTCAGGAACACAGATCAGCTATTTTTATGGTGATGGTAATATTCAGATGAAGTGAAGAAAAAGATAGGGCCCTAAATCCATTTCTCACCTCTTAACTAGCCAGGCTAGTTATTTATTATTATAGTATATTATATATTTGACAACAATTTGTCTCAGTGTTTTTCATTCTTCCCACTCACACAGTCCTCATCAATGCTTTGAGTCCCGCTCAAACATCACCTCCTCTTTGAAACTTTCCCTATCCCTTCCCCAAGTCAAAATTAATCATTCCTTCTGTTGTAATCCCTTGTGCTTTGTTGGAAATATTATTATAGGTTTTATCTCACATGGTGACTTAAGTATTACAGTCAGGAATAATAGAGTTCAAAGTGAAGACTCAAATCCAACTGCCTAGGTTCACTGCTTACCAGCTATGTGGTCTTGGGCAAATTATTTAACCTCACAACATTGCATTTACTTATGTTAAAAATGAAAGTGAATATGGCACTCCAAAATACTATTGTGAGATTATGTGAGATAAATGATTTGGTATTTAGCAAGCACTCAAACGTTCTAATAGCTAGATTTCCATATTTATGTCTATATATCACACATATGTAAGCATACACACACACACACACACACACACGTAAACACACATATAGATATGAGGTTTCAGATTCCATAGATAGATAGATAGATAGATAGATAGATAGATAGATAGATAGACAGACAGATATAGTATGTAGAAGGAAACTGAACCCCCATATCTACCTTCCCCTAGCTTCCCATGTAGGATACAAAGTTGTGAACCTGGTTGGCTAAATCATAAGCCATTGTAGTGAGTAGGGTAATTTTAAAAGGCCACGTGCCTAGACACTGTTTTCTCACTTCCTTGTCCTTTCTTTCATGCAGCTTGGTAGGTAAGTGGAATGGCAAGGCTTGCTAGCTTTTTCTCTGAGTGCATGTCTGAGCTTGTTTGGCTACTGCACTTGTTTCCTGTTTTATTTGACTGAAGAGAAGGTTTAGTAGGATCTCAAGATATACATTATGTTTAGGGGGAAGCAGGAGGTCCCATTTTAGCTTCAAAAGCTGCCATGTGTTCTGGTCCAGCCTTTAAAGGGCTCTCCACTGATGGATGATGGTTGTCATCCTTTGTTATTGGTGCCTTAGGAATATCTTTGGAAAGAACAAGGGTACAAATCACTCATCACCTCATTTCTAATATTATACATGCCTACCTTCCACAATGCTTGAGGACAGACACAGGGAGAAGAGACTTTGGAGTTAGGCAGACCTGGTCCAAATCCCAGTCCGCTGCCACGAGGCCTTGGGAAGATGATAATCTCCGCAAAGGCTCACTTTTTGCCCTTGTTACATATGGCAGAGAATGCTAGTTTCTTTTCCCAGCATCTCGCCTGCCCCCTCGGCAGCAGGATTCCCACTGTGATCTAAACACACTAACAGCTGGAGTAGATGAGAGCATTTCTCAGGCTCTTCTGCAGAGATGTGAGGTCATGTGAACAAATTCTGGCCAAGGAGATGGTAGCAGGAGTAGGTGGAACTTTGAGAAGTCTTCTTAAAAAAAAAAAAAAAAAAAAAAGATAGATATGTACTTCTTCCTCCTTTTCCTGTTGCTGCGTGGAATGCAGATGTGGTGGCAGCAACTGGGACTATGGAATGACTCAGAGGAAGGAAGCCATATGCCGAGGTTGGCAGGGGAGGGAAAAAAGAAACTTGGGTCACTATGACATAGCGAAGCTGCCAGACCAACCCTATACAGCCACCTCTAAACTTCTCTTACAGGGAGATAAATAAATGTTCAACCCATTTATAGCACTGGTGAGTTTTTCTCCATCCTGTGCAGCCCAGCTTAATGATTACTGATAAATAAAGCTCAACAATAATATAAATAAAACTATGGCTTGCAAACCAAATGAAGCCCACCACCTGTTTTGTAGAGCCCATGAGCTAATAGTGCTTTTTGGGGATAATTATTTGCAATAAATTTGATGATAGGGAATAGTTAACGCTAATCCTTACCCCCCCAAAAGAATTCCATGTTTCTCATTAGTAGATCTGTATTGAAAAAACAAGTTACACATGTTTTATTATCAATATATTTTGAATTTTGTCAATAAAAACTTTGTGACAATCTTTTTTTGTTGTTATATAAGTACTTACATACTGTCCTCAATTTTGCCTTTTGACTCACAAAACCTAAAATATTTACTGTCTGGCTTTTTTATTTTATTAGCATTT